AGAATCTTTAGAATCTTTAGAATCTTTAGAATCTTTAGAATCTTTAGAATCTTTAGAATCTTTAGAATCTTTAGAATCTTTAGAATCTTTAGAATCTTTAGAATCTTTAGAATCTTTACAATCTTTACAATCTTTACAATCTTTACAATCTTTAGAATCTTTAGAATCTTTAGAATCTTTAGAATCTTTAGAACCTTTAGAATCTTTAGAATCTTTAGAATCTTTAGAATCTTTAGAATCTTTAGAATCTTTAGAATCTTTAGAATCTTTAGAATCTTTAGAATCTTTAGAATCTTTAGAATCTTTAGAATCTTTAGAATCTTTAGAATCTTTAGAATCTTTAGAATCTTTAGAATCTTTAGAATCTTTAGAATCTTTAGAATCTTTAGAAAGAATCTGAAAGAATCTGAAAGAATCTGAAATAATCTGAAAGAATCTGAAAGAATCTGAAATAATCTGAAAGAATCTGAAAGAATCTGAAAGAATCTGAAAGAATCTGAAAGAATCTGAAAGAATCTGAACGATTCTAAAATAATCTGAAAGAATCTAAAATAATCTGAGAGAATCTGAAAGAATTTGAATGAATCTGAAAGAGTTTAAAAGAATCTATTAGAATTGGAAATAATCTGAACGAATCTGAAGCAATCTGAAGGAATCTGAAAGAATCTGAAGAAACTTGAGAGACTCTGTGAGAGAGACGTGAGAATCGGAGCAAATGTGGAAGAAACTGGAAGAATTTCTTACACAATTTATAAGAATTTCACAGAATTTGAAAAAAATTGACATAATTTGACAAAATTTGACAGAGTTTGACAAAACTTTAGGACCTTTAGGACCTTTAGACTCTTTAGAATCTTTTGATCTTTGGAATTTTTAGAATTTTTAGAATCTTTAGAATCTCTGAAACCTGTACAATTTCTAGGATTTCCAATGTCTGTAGGATCTTTAGGATTTGAAATAATTTTAATAAATCTTGGGGATCCCTGATCTTGTTTTTGAAGTAGTTTGAAAGAATTTTGAAGACCTCTTATGTTTTCTTTTTGAAGAATGTAGTTTGAAAGAATCTCATGAACCTTCTGGTGGCCTTTTGTTGGAAGTACGTAATTTGTAAAAAAATTGAAAGAATCTGGAAAAATCTGACAGAATCTGAAGGAATCTGAAAGAATCGAAAATAATCTGAAATAATTTGATAGAATCTGAAAGAATTTGAAGGAATTTGAAAGAGGTTAAAAGAATCTATTAGAATTGGAAATAATCTGAAAGAATCGGAAGCAATCTGAAGGAATCTGAAGGAATCTGAAGAAACTTGAGAGACTCTGTGAGAGAGACGTGAGAATTGGAGCAAATGTGGAGGAAACTGTAAGAATTTCTTACACAATTTATAAGAATTTGACAGAATTTGAAAAAATTTGACAGAATATGACAGAGTTTGACAGAACTTTAGGACTTTAGGACCTTTAGACTCTTTAAAATCTTTTGATCTTTGGAATCTTTAGAATTTTTGAATCTTTAGAATTTCTAAAACCTGTAGATTTTCTAGGATTTCCAATGTCTCTAGGATCTTTAGGATTTGAAATAATTTTAAAAAATCTTAGGGATCCCTGATCTTGTTTTTGAAGTAATTTGAAATAATCTCGGAGACCTGTTATGTTTTCTTTTTGAAGAATGTAGTTTGAAAGAATCTATTGAACCCTTTGGTGGTCTTTTGTTGGAAGTACGTAATTTTTGAAAAAAATTGAAAGAATCTGAAAGAATTTGAAAGAATCTGAAAGAATTTGAAAGAATCTGAAAGAATCTATAAGAATCTATAAGACACTGAAAGAATCTGAAAGAATCTGAAAGAATCTGAAAGAATCTGAAAGAATCTGAAAGAATCTGAACGATTCTAAAATAATCTGAAAGAATCTGAAAGAATCTGAAAGAATCTGAAAGAATCTGAAAGAATCTGAAAGAATCTGAAAGAATCTGAAAGAATCTGAAAGAATCTGAAAGAATCTGAAAGAATCTGAAAGAATCTGAAAGAATCTGAAAGAATCTGAAAGAATCTGAAAGAATCTAAAAGAATCTAAAAGAATCTGAAAGAACCTGGAAGAATCCGAAAGAATCTGAAAGAATCTGAAAGAATCTGAAAGAATGTGAGAGATTCTGAAGAATCTGAAAGAGTCCAAAATAATCTATTAGAATGTGAAATAATCTGAAAGAATCTATAAAATTTGAAATAATCTGAAATAATCTGAAGCAATCTGAAGGAATCTGAAGGAATCTGAAGAAATTTGAGAGATTCTGTGAGGGAGAGGTGAGAATCTGAGTAAATGTGAAAGAAATTGTAAGAATTTCTTACACAATTTATAAGAACTTGACAGAATTTGAAAAAACTTGACACAATTTGACATAATTCGACAGAATTTGACAGAGTTTGACAGAACTTTAGGACCTTTAGGACCCTTAGACTCTTTAGACTCTTTAGAATCTTTTGATCTTTAGAATTTTTAGAATCTCTAACACCTGTAGAATCTCTAGTATTTCCAAGGTCTCTAGGATCTTTAGGATTTGAAATAATTTTAAAAAATCTTGGAGATCCCTGGTGTTGTTTTTGAAATAATTTAAAAGGATATCGGGGACCTTTCGTGTTTTGTTTCTTAAGGAGCTTGAAAGAATTTTGAGAATTCCTGATGTTGTTTTTAAAGTAGTTTGAAATAATTTCGGGGACGCATTTCCTATTTTTGAAGTATTTTGAGATAATTTCGCAAAGCCTTTTATTTTTTTTGAAATAAGTAGTTTGAAAGAATCTCGAGAACCTCTTTAGTTGTGTTTTTGAAGTAGTTTGAAAGAATTTTCGGGAACATCTTGTTTTGTTTTTGAAGTAGTTTGAAAGAATTTCGGGCACCCATTTCATATTTTTTAGTAATTTGAAATAATCTTGGAGACCTCTTCTGTTTTTTTTTTTTTTGTAGAATCTAGTTTGAAAGAATTTCGTGAACTCACTGTTGGTCTTTTGTTAGAAGTACGTAATTTGAAAGAATTTCGCGGACCCATTGAATTCTTTTGAAGTAGGTAGTTTGAAAGAATCTCGAGAAATTATTTTGTTGTGTTTTTGAAGTAGTTTAAAAGATCATCGGGAAGCCCTTATGTTTTATATTTGAAGTATGTAATTTGAAAGAATCTCGGGACCCCTCGGTTTTTGAAGTAGTTTGAAAGCATCACAGAAACCGCTCGTTTTGTTTTTGAAGTAGTTTGAAAGAATTTCTGCGACCTTTTTCCTGTTTTTGAAGTATTTTGAAATAATCTCGGAGACCTTTTATGTTTTTTTTTTTGAAAAATGTAGTTCGAAAAAATCTCGTTGGTCTTTTGTTGGAAGTACGTAATTAGAAAGAATTTCGCGAACCCTTTGAATTCTTTCGAAGTAGGTAGTTTGAAAGAATCTCGATACCTAAATTGTTACGTTTTTGAAGTAGTTTGAAAGATCATTGTGTACCCCTTATATTTTATATTTGAGGTATGTAATTTGAAAGAATCTCGGGACCCCTCGGTTTTTGAACTAGTTTGAAAGAATCTCGGGGATCTATCGTCTTGTTTTTGAAGTAATTCGAAAGAATATTGGAAACGTCTTATTTTGTTTTTAAAGTAGTTTGAAATAATTTCGGGCACCCATTTCCTATTTTTTCAGTAATTTGAAATAATTTCGGAGACCTCTTATGTTTTTTTTTGAAGAATCTAGTTTAAAAGAATCTCGTGAACTCACTGTCGGTCTTTTGTTGGAAATACGTAGTTTGAAAGAATTTCGCGAACCTACTGAATTTTTTTGAAGTAGGTAGTTTGAAAGAATCTAGAGAACTTATTTTGTTGTGTTTTTGAAGTAGTTTGAAAGAATCTCGGGACGCCGCGGTTTTTGACGTAGTTTGAAAAAATCTTGGAAATGCCTTTTGTTTTGTTTTTGAAGTAGTTTGAAGAAATTTCGGGGACCCATTTCCTGTGTTTGAAATAATTTGAAAGAATCTCGGGGGCTCCTTGGGTTGTATTTTTGAATTATTTTGGGAGAATATCGACCATCCCTTGTCTTGTTTTTGACATAATTTGAAAGAATTTCTTGCTTTGTTTTGGGGTAGTTTGAAACAATTTCGAGGAGCACGTGTGTAAAATTTGGGTTCCACTGGAAAAATCTCGATTTCCAGATGACGCAATTCCTCTTATGACGAGCGAATCACGCAGAGAGCTGCAATTCGATACCACCCGTGACGCCAACACGACGCACAATTCCATCCGGACTCTGAAGTTCATCAATCCCTATAAATGTACATATTTAGTATATAACAATAAAATATATATAGTATATATCACCTAAAATAATGAGGGTTTAATTTAAAACGTTTTTGTGTTGGTTTTGCTTATCTTTAAATATAAACCCAATAATATTAAAAGTCGTACTTCGTTGAACAAATGTTAACAATAATTTTGTAAGTAAAATATTGCAGACAGTTTTTTTTCTTGCTTTCCGCTTTTAAAGGAACACAGAGCTTTAATATTACCTTCGCGTACCAAGTTTGATCTGTTCTGTGCTTTTATGTATATTCTTTCATCCTGTCTTTGGATTTTTATTAAGTATATTTAAATCCCTTCTGAAAATCCATTTGCTCATCCGCTTTGTTTATTGCAAATATTGGTTGAAGTCTCGTATTTTCAGTTAAGTGACTTTCCAAGGAAAACACTGAAGTCTTCACCGGTGCAGAAAAATTGACTCAGTATATTTAACCGTCACTTTCTGAAAAAACTTTGTAGTCCGAAGTGGCCAATAATTATTTTTACTTAACGTAGATATCGTAGATGCGTAATTCCCAGCCCAGCTTCGTCCCAAGTTCATACCCTTGCCCTGCGTTAAAATTCAACTTCCACCAGCAATTGTGTTTATCTGAGTTATAGTCCGATGTGTACTTTAACCATTATGTTCCAACAAAGACACACAACACACTTTGATAATCTACTTATTGATCCTATTGTTGCAGATCGCACAATGGCCGGTTACTGTTTGGACGTATCATGACCGAACAAAAAACAAATCATGATGCAAAATAATGCAAGAAGATAATGTAATGGAGGTAAGGAAATTACTTTTCTTCTCACCCCTCTCATCAACGAAAAAATTTATATACCCTTAGACGAGCGTGCGACCTAAACTTGGCAGAGCTTTCATTTAACCTGGACGTTATCTCCATTTCATTTAGTCCGGACAATCTGTTTCACATGCAAGCTTTACGCCCTCGCAAAATTATCGCTATTATTCGATTCGATTCAAAGAGATAGAACAAAAGTAATTTTGTATTTTTACGCCTGAAGCGTAAAAAGTGGCATAAAAGAGTGCGAGGTAAATCTCCTATCAGCGTTTCTTTAGTTCTGGTTTCGCCGACGCGGAGCGGTTGGTTCTGGTTCGACAAGGCTGCAATAACGTAATAACGGTCAATGGCTGGAGAAATCATCGACGCTGTTGTAAAAAAAGAGAAAATAGAGACAGTGAATGATTTTAATGGCGAAACTCTTTGTGGCTCAAAATTTCCCATATGTGGTATTCTACCAGATGTTTTTGCGTTTACGTGACAATTACAGACGGTGTGGTCTGTTTTTTGGCTCGACGTTTTTTTGCCTATTTATTGAATTCGCCCAGGAGGAGTTCGGGCACTTTTAATAAAGTCGGTGGCACGTTCCTGCTGCCTTTATTATTAATTTTGCGGTCCGTTCTTTAAAAACTGTCATAATTCTAGAGAAATTCAAAGCGTGTCGTGGGGTGTGATAGTATTTGTGGTTTGAATTGCCGCTGAGACATATAATTTCAGTCCTTGTCGAGAGTGATCCAAAAATGGCGCAGTCGCTGGTTCGATGAAAACGAGTAAAACAAAAAATGACAAAATTAATTGTTGCTCCACAACATCCAGCTGTTTTCAGCTATTTATATTTTTGCCGAAACTTGAATGTTGTGTTTGCTGTAAACGTATTTAAATAACTTCTCTTGTTATGTTTATGTTTAAACCAATTGTTATCTCAGAACAATGGTACAAATAGCAGCTCATTAATTTGCTGTGAATCTGAGGGAATCTGAGAGAATCTTAGAAAATCTGAAAGAATCTGACAGAATGTGAGAAAATCTGAGAATATTTTGGAAAATCTCATAGAATCTCAGAGAATCTGATGGAATGTGTCAGAATTTGAGAGAATCCTACAGAATATGAGAGAGTCGAAACTAATCCGAAATAATCTAAACTAATCTGAAAGAATCTGAAGGAATTTGAAATAATCTGAGAATATTTGAGTGAATCTGAGAAAATCAAAGACAATCTGAAAGAATCTGAGAGAATTTGAGATAATCTGACACAATTTGGGGGATTCTGAGATTATATTAGTATAACTTGAATCAATCTGAGAGAATCTGAAGGAATTTGAAGGAATCTAATGCAATTTGATGTAATTTGAGAGAATCTCAGAAAATCCAAAAAAATCTGATAGAATGTGATAGAATCTGGCAGAATCTTAGAAAATCTGAAAGAATCTGAGAGAATATGAGAGAATCTGAGAGAATATTGCAGAATTTGAGAGTATTTTGGAGAATCTCAGAGAATATCATAGAATCGAGAGATTATAAGGGCAGCTGAGAGAATCTGAAAAAATCTGAAAGAATCTGAAAGAATTAGAAAGAATTTGAAGTAATTTGAGAAAATTTGTGTGAATCTGTGACAACCTAAGAGAATCTGAAATAATCTGCGACAATGTGAGAGTTTCTGATAGAGTTTGGTGTTCGCTGAAAGAATTTGAGTCAGTCTGAAGGAATTTGAAGAAATCTGAAGCAATTTGAGAGAATCTCAGAGAACCCGAAAGAATCTGCTAGAATTTGAGAAAATCTGATAGAATGTGAGGGAAATTGAGAGAATCTGAGGGAAATTGAGAGAATCTGAGGGAATCTGAGAGAATCTTAGAAAATCTGAAAGAATCGGGCAGAATGTGAGAAAATCTGAAAATATTTTGGAGAATCTCAGAGAATCTCATAGAATCTAAGAGTTTATCAAAGTATCTGAGAGAATCTGAAGAAATTTGTAAGAACTTAAGACAACTTGAAAGAATCTGAAGGAATCGGAAAGAATTTGAACGATTTTTTTAAAGAAACTGACAGAATCTGATGGAATGTGTCAGAATTTGAGAAAATGGAAACTAATCCGAAAGTATCTGAACTAATCTGAAAGAATCTGAAGGAATTTGAAATAATCTGAAAATATTTGAGTGAATCTGAGAAAATCTAAGAGAATTTGAAGGAATCTGAGAGAATTTGAGATAATCTGACACAATTTGGGGGATTCTGAGAGTACTAATAAGTATAGAGAGTACTCTAGATTGTTTCAAGTTATACTAATAACTGAGAGAATCTGAAGGAATTTGAAGGTATCTAATGCAATTTGATGCAATTTGAGAGAATCTCAGAGAATCCGAAAAAATCTGATAGAATGTGATAGAATCTTAGAAAATCTGAACGATTCTGAGAGAATATGAGAGAATCTGAGAGAATATGGCAGAATTTGAGAGTATTTTGGAGAATCTCAGAGAATATCATAGAATCGATAGATTATAAGAGCAGCTGAGAGAATCTGAAAGAATCTGTAAGAATTTAAGACAACTTGAAAAAATCTGAAAGAATCTGAAGAAATGTGAAAGAATTTGAAGTAAGCTGAGAAAATTCTACAGGGTTTGAAAGACTTTGAAATGATTTGAGAAAATTTGAGTGAATCTGTGACAACCTGATAGAATCTGAAGGAACATGAGAAAATCTGAGATAATCTGAGACAACGTGAGAAATGCTGGGAGAGTTTGGTGTAAGTTGAAAGAATCTGAGCTAGTCTGAAGGAATTTGAAGAAATCTGAAGCAATTTGAGAGAATCTCAGAGAATCCGAAAGAATCTGATAGAATCTAATGGAATCTGAGTGATTCTCATTGAATCTGAAAGAATTTGAGAGAATCGAAGAGAATATGGCAGAATCTGAGAGTATTTTGAAGAATATCAAAAAATATCATAAAATCGAGAGATTATAAGAGTAGCTGAGAGAATCTGAAAGAATCTGTAGAAATTTGAGACGACTGGAAAAAATCTAAAGGAATTAGGAAGAATCTGAAGGAATTTGAAGTAATCTGAGGAAATTTTCTAGGATTTTAAAGACCTTAAAATAATCTGAGAAAATGTGGGTTAATCTGAAGGAATCTGAGAGAATCTGAGATAATCTGAGACAATGTGAGAGATTCTGAGAGAGTTTGATATAACCTGAAAGAGTCTGAACGAGTCTGAAAAAATTTGGAGCGATTTGAGAGAATTTCAGAGAATTCGAAAAAATCTGATAGAATCTGATGGAATCTGAGAGGATCTCATAAAATTTGAAAGAATCTGAGAGAATATGGCAGAATATGAGAGTATTTTGGAAAATTTCAGAGAATATCATAGATTCGAGAGATTATATGAGTAGCTGGGAGAAAAGAATCTGTAAGAATTTGATAAAACTTGAAAAAATCTGAAAGGATCTACAGAAATCAGAAAGGATCTGAAGGACTTTGAAGTAATCTGAGATAATTTGAAAGGATTTGAAAGACTCTAAAGTAATCTGAGAAAATGTGATACAATTTGAGAAAATCTTAGGGAATCTGAGAAAATCTGAGACAATTTGAGAGATTCTGAGAGAATTTGGTATAGCCTGAAAGGATCTGAGCGAGTCCGAAGGAGTTTGAGAGAATATCAGGTAATCACAGAGAATCTGATGGAACCTGAGCGAAAATCAGAAAATCTGAAAGAATCTGAAAGAATAGAAGAGAATCGGAGAATATTTTGGAGAATCTCAGAGAATCTCATAAGAGTAAACTAAGAAAATTGAAAGGATTTGAAAGACTGAAATAATCTGAGAAAATTTGAGAAAATCTGAGAGAATATGAGAAAATTTGAGAGATTCTAAGAGAAGTTGGTATAACCTGAAATGATCTGAACGATTCTGAAGAAATTTTCTGAGATTCTGAGAGATTTTGGTGTACTGAAAGAATCTGAGCCAGTCTGAAGGAATTTGAAGAAATCTGAAGCAATTTGAGAGAATCTCAGAGAATCCAAAAGAATCTGATAAAATCTGAAAGAATTTGAGGGAATATGAGAGAATCAGGGAGAATATGGCAGAATCTGAGAGTATTTTGGAGAATATCAGAAAATATCATTGGATCGAGAGATTATAAGAGTAGCTTAGAGAATCTGATAGAATCTGGAAGAATTTGAGACAATTTGAAAAAATCTGAATCTGAGAAAATTTGTGTGAATCTGTGAAAATCTGAGAGAATCTGAGACAATGTGAGAGATTGTGAAAGAGTTTGATATATCCTGAAAGAGTGTGAGCGAGTCTAAAGAAATTTGGAGCAATTTGAGAGAGTCTCAGAGAATCCGAAAAAATCAGATAGAATCTGAGAGAATATGAGAGAATCTAAGAGTATTTTCGAAAATTTCAGAGAATATCATAGAATCGAGAGATTATAAGAGTAGCTGAGAGGAAATAATCTGTAAGAATTTGATAGAACTTGAAAAAGTCTGAAAACATCTGAAGAAATCAGAAAGGATCTGAATGAATTTAAAGTAATCTGAGATAATTTGAAAGGATTTGAAATATAATAATAAATAATAATCTGAGAAAATGTGATACAATCTGAGAAAATCTGAGACAATTTGAGAGATTCTGAGAGAATTTGGTATAACTTGAAAGGATCTGAGCGAGTCTGAAGGAGTTTGGGAGAATCTCAGGGAATCACAGAGAATCTGATAAAATCTGAGGTTACCTGAGAGAATCTCAGAAAATCTGAAAGAACCTGAAAGAAAATGAGAGAATCTGAGAATATTTTGGAGAATCTCAGAAAATCTTATAGAAACTGGAAGATTATAAGAGTATTCTGCGAGAATCTGAAGGAATTTGTGAGAATTTGAGAGAACATGAAATAATCTGAAAGAACCTGAAAAAATCGGAAAGAATCTGAACGTACCTGAAATAATCTGACAGAATCTGATAGAATGAGACAGAATTTTAGAGAATCTAAACTAATCTG